GCGACATTGATTGGGCTAGTCATTGGTATTCTAGCATTCTGCTGCGCTGTCTTGCACTACGTGATAGAGGTCAGTCCCGGTCAGGTCAGGACTTACATCTAAGTCTTCCACTTCGCTATAAAGCACCATTTTTGTATGTATCAGGATGTACACCGCTTGTTGAGATTTCACTTGCACTGCATTGTCCATTAAGTCCTTTTTATCACTGCGGATCCTCGGTTATTTATGTACATCGCCCAACTGGGCATGTAACAGTTGGTATCTGAACACCGCACGTGAATCAGGACAACCTGATCTGGCACGTGTGCGAGGACTAATTAGTTGATTAGTCTTGATTGATTGATTGATTGATTAGAGCACACTAATTAGCCCCCAAAATCGCGATTTTGACCCAACTGCCGAAAATCGAATTTTTTTTCTTTTCTTGGATTTTGTTTTCTGTTGTGGAAAATCGCAATAATGCAACACCTGAAATTTCCGTTTTCGTTTTTCTTCTGAAAATTCGAAATTTCGTTGTTGGAAATCCGGAATATCTTTTTTTTTGAAAATTTTGATTTCCTGTTGCAATTTTCCCGTTAACGGGAAATCCCTCTTGCAGTTATCATTCTCCAAACTGCGCATACTCTTATCTGAGTAATTCCGAATATTTTTTTGTACTTTATTTTCGGAATTATTTTATCGGATAATCATTTGTGGTCTGAAAGTTTGAATTTTTTTCTCATTGGTAATTTCGCACTTCAGGGGAAATTGGGAGGCCTACTGAACTTGCAAACAAGTTTTGTTTTGTTTTTGTTTGTTTTTTTTTCTCGAATTTTTTTGCAAAGTTCAAACTTTTCTTTTTTGATTAGTGGCTCCTTATCTGGGCGATTTATCCCACCCCTCTCCACCTATGTTGTTGTTCTCTCTGGTCTTCTCTACCTGCCTCCGGGTACCCCCTGTGGCGACATTGGTGAGTTGCCACGTCAGCAGGCCACGTCAGCAGGACACGACAGCAGGACACGGCAGCAGGACACGGCAACAGTGCCACGTCAGCAACCAGTCACCGCAGCAGCAGGTCACGTTAGTGCATGGTGCTCACCTGCTCAAAGACAAGCGGCATGGATCAGCAGCCAGGAAAGACTACCGAGGCCTATGAGACCCGCACGCTGGACATGGTAGCAGAGTTCAAGCGAAGGGTAGTTGCGGCAACCTTCGCACGTAAGAAGGAAGATGAGGAAGCAGAGGAACAACGTCGCCTCGCTGAACAACAGCGACAGGAGGACGCTGAGGCAGCAAGGAAGGCCGCAGACGAACGTCGTCGACTACGCCGAGACAAAATCCTCGAATGCGAGGGGGACATCGAGGTGATCGCCGGCGAATGGGCATTCGCTGCTGAAGAGGAGGGTGCCCCGCCTGCTGTACGTGGCCTTGCAACCACAATCGAACATGTGAGCGACTTGGTCGCCACCTGTGCAGCAGAGCAAGAGGACATCCTCTGCATGGACACCCTGGTCCGGAAGCAGGCTCGACTTATCGACGAACTGCTTGACCGGGTACACCGGCTGGAGCAGCAGCCTACAACAGCCACCCCCGTTGGACCCCCCAACTTGACGGACCGTGTCAACATCTTGGAAATTGACGTCGGGACTCTCAAGGACGGCGCTCTAGCGACAAATCAGCGGATTGACCAGCAGATTTGTGCCGCCGCAGCCAGTCCGACCGCGACTACTTGCAAGAGCATCCCAAAGTTTGACGGCCCGCCGATCTTCTACGATGCAGCGAAGACGGACCCGATTCCATGGTGGCGCTAGTTCGAGTTGAAGTTGGACATTCACCACGTCAGCAACCCGAACCGGCACGCATACTTATACTCCCACTCGGGAGGCGCGTGCCACACATGGCTGGACAACATGTTGTCCACGCACAACGCCACAGTCTCAGAGCTGCATACGAAGATCAGCTGGGCTGATCTCAAGGCAGCATGGCATAAGCGGTTCCAAGTGGAGCCGCCCGAGCTTTAGGCAGCCGAGAAACTTCAACGGTTCTATAAGAACGACCTGCCAAGCACGAACTGAATAACCGAGTACCAACGCTTGGCATCCACGCCCAACTTACCGTCGACATTTGTCGCTATCAAGCACTTCTTCATCAGGAGGAGCTGTCCAGCGTTGCAAAACGCCTTGACACAAGTTGCGGAGACGCTCACCACAAGTGAGCAGCTTTTTGATAAAGCCTCGCAGATCATCGTGACGAACGCCGAAGCCAAGAATTTGGGCCGTTCGTCCGCTGCGAGCCAGGGCAGACATCAGCATCGGCCGAAAGTGGTCGTGGTCGCAGCAACTACAGCGACCGACCCTTCAAACGAGGCTGCCTCTTCTGATGAAGGAGACAGATTGGCAGCCGCCCGGGATGGTGGCCGCCCCGCCAGAGGGCGAGGACGTGACAAACCGAAGACACACACCAATTCATCCCCTGGGGCCGGACCAGCGGCTCAAGAGCCTTGGACACATTACGGTATCTCGAAAGGCGTGCACCGCATCCGTACTAAGTACCGATACTGCTTGTGGTGTAACAGCGCGGTGCATGACACCGCAACGTGCCCCACGCAAGTCAAAGGCAAATTCCCTTCAGGAAAGTGAGCACCGCCAAGAGTGATGCGGTTGCACTCTCGACGCCTTTGGAACCGGTTGCTTCGCGAGCGACCTCTCTTCATTTCGAGGAACATGCGGAAGTCGACAGTCCTTTCTTATATTCTTATAAGGACAATGCTGCCCGGCTCGTTCCTTCGCCGGGTTCTCAAGCTCAAGGACAAGATGTGTGTGCGGCTTCTTCTCCGTCCGGCAACAGCGACAATGAATCGTCTTCAAGTGGTTCTTCAAGGGATTCGATGCACGAGTTCAACATAGAGGTCTTGGACCCGTTGACGTCCGAGGATTTTGCATGGCTTCCTCTCCCTTCCACAGGATGCTTGCCGGGACCGCAATGCGCAGCATTATGCACCCATCTCCACACATACTTAGCCTTCTATGCACCACCACCTTCGCCGACGGATGCCGAAGCTGTGGTGGGGGACATCCTTGCGTATGTTAGCAAGGTGGCCCGCGGGTTTCGCATGCAGCGGTACGATGATAACAACGCACCGCTCCTTCACGTCTGCATCCAAGTTGGGCAAGTGTCCTGCAACGCTTTGCTGGATAGCGGCGCGACTCGCAATTTCATCAGCCAGTCCTTTATCCAAAGGGCCGGCTTTGGCGCACCAGTTCGAAGGAAGCCAAACCCGACGGCAATCAAGTTGGCGGACGGTCGGACGCAACAACTCCTTGATCGCTACATTGAAGCTATGCCGGTTTATTTCGCACCTCATGCCTGCGAACCGGTGACGTTTGACGTCTTGGACACGAACTTCGACATCATTTTGGGGATGCCTTGGCTTGCAAGTGCGGATCACACGGTTAACTTCCATCAGTGGACACTTACTGTTCACGACGCCTTCGACGTCGAGGTGCCATGTACCATTCCTCTTCCGCACCCCTCGATCCGGTGCCAAGTTGTAACGACCAAGTCTTTTCGGGCCACTTGCGCTTACGAGCGGACCGACGAGATAGGCCTATGTTTTCTACGAGTCATCGCGATGACCGAATCTTCACCTACGGACTTGTCTTCGGACCCCCGAGTGGTGCGGTTGCTCAACGAGTTCACCGACATCTTCGAGTCTCCTACCGGTGTGGTGCCGGATCGGCCGATCTCCCACGAGATCATTCTTGTGGCTGGTGCCGTACCACTGAAAGGATGCATCTATCGCATGAGTGTGGAAGAGCTCGCGGTTCTCCGCGCGCAACTCGATGATCTGTTGGACAAGGGCTGGATCCGCCCTAGTAGCTCACCATACGGTGCGCCAGTTCTCTCCGTACGGAAGAAGAACAAGGATCTTCGCTTGTGCATTGACTACCGCAAGATCAACGCACAAACCGTCAAGAATGCGGGACCTCTTCCGTGGATTGACGACCTTCTCGAGCGTTTGGGCGACGCGAAATTCTTCTCGAAGTTGGACTTGAAGTCGGGCTATCACCAAATCTCAATACGCCCGCAAGATCGCTACAAATCCGCGTCTTGTATAGACATTTTGAGTGGGTCGTTATGCCTTTTGGCCTCACCAATGCCCCAACGACTTTTCAAGCGGCAATGCCCAACGAGTTTCGTGCGATGTTGGACCGGTTCGTGCTAGTGTTGGAGACGCTCCGCCGCGCCAAGTACAAAGCCAACCGCGAGAAGTGTGAATTTGTCCGGCAAGAGCTGGAGTACTTGGGCCATTTTGTCACACCGGAAGGCATTAGTCCGTTGTCGGACAAGATCCAAGCCATCCAAGAGTGGCTGGAGCCGAAGAACGTCATAAATGTCTGTTCCTTCCTTGGCTTAGCCGGCTACTATCAACACTTCATGAAGGGATACTCGAAGATCGGGACTCAGTTATCCAAGCTTCAATGCGAGGACCGGCCATTCGACTTCGACGACAATGCGCAGACTTCCTTTTTGGCCCTCAAAGCTGCATTGCTATTCGTGGAGGTGTTGCGCATCTACGATCCGCTTCTGCCAACACGTGTCACTACCGATGCGTCCGGCTATGCCATTTGTGCCGTCCTCGAGCAATTAGCAAGAAAGTGCCCGGCGTGCACTCGACTGACGACGCATGGAAGAAGGAATTATTGGCCTTCGTACAAGCACTCAAGCGCTGGTGGCATTTTTTTCTCGGTCGATGGCAGTTCCGATGGGTAACGGATAACAATCCATTGGTCTTCTACAAGACCCAAGACACGGTCAATAGCACCATTGCCCGTTGGATGGCCTTCATCGACCAGTTTGACTTTTGCCCCGACCACATTCCGGGCAAGTCAAACCCTTTTGCGGATGTTCTTTCACGAAGTCCGGACCATTGTACCGCAGTCTACTCAACTTCTGAGATTAACGACGACTTGCGGGACAACTTCATCCGCGGCTACCAAGTCGACCCTGAGTTTTGCGACAAGTACGCAAATTGCTCCTCTCCCAATCCGGTGCCATTGCACTATCGGATCCACGAGGGGTACTTGTTCGTCCACTCGCGAGGGAAGGATCTTCTTTATGTGCCGCGAGATTTACACTTGCGCACACGGCTTCTTAGCGAGTTCCACGACACTCCCGCCACCGGACACTTTGGAGTCAATCGTACGATTGGCCGACTCCATGAGTGTTTTTGGTGGCCCGATCTTCTCGACGACGTCACACGCTATTGCGAGTCATGCGAGGTTTGCCGACGTTGCAAATCCTGCGATCATCGCCCGTACGGCGAGTTGCGACCATTACCAGTCCCCTTGCGCCGAAGAGAAGCAATTGCCATGGACATTACCAGGCCATTCCACAAGCACAAGATTGGTGTGGATGGGATTCTCACGGTGGTCGACCGACTCACCAAGTTTGCCATGTTTTTGCCTTGCCGCTATCATGCCAAGGCACCAGAGTTGGCCGAGGTTCTTTACGCCGATTGGATTCGAACCAAGGGTTACCCCAAGGAAACCGTATGCGACCGCGACACTCGGTTCATGTCCAATTTTTGGTTGGTGCTCATCTCTCAAGCCAAGTTCGGCTCGCCACCCCCAAACCGATGGCCAAACGGAGAGGGCGCATCAGACCGCACAGGTTCTCCTTCGCACTCTCATCCGTCCCGACCAAAAGGATTGGGTTAAGCGGCTGCCAGATGTCGAGTTGACATACAACTCATCCATCCACCTGGCTATCGAGATGTCGCCCTTCGAGTTCGAGCACGGCTCGCCGGTCACTTCTCCGTTGGACACAATCATTCCACAAACGGCCGAGAGCGACGACCATCTTCTTTTCTTGTGACGGATGCAAGAGCTACTTGTCAAGGCACGCGACCTGATGGCTAAGATGCAGCAACACATGAGCCAACATGCCAATCGCCAACGTCTTCCTTGTCCATTCCGCGCCGACAATCTCGTTTGGGTTTCGGTCGCGGAGTTCAGCCTCGAACAAGATATCTCTCGCAAGCTCCTCCCGAAATGAATGGGGCCCTGGCCGATCGTGGCACCGGCTGGGGATGCACCCGAAGGACCTTCCTTCATCATTCAGGTGCCTGCCCACTTGCCCGTCTACCCGGTCTTTCATTGCTCCAAGTTGGCTCTTTACACGCCAGCGGAACATGACGATTTTCCCGGGTGCCAATCGCAAGACCCACCCTCTATGTACGGTTTTCAAGAGGTCGGTGACATCATCTCCCAGTGACGCTACGGCAACAGGCCGACCGAGTACTCCATACACTTTGCATACTGCACCCACAAAGTTGACCGTTGGTTGACCCGTGCGGAACTCCAAGCAACAGCTCCAGATGTTCTCGCACGCTACGAACGCAAGATGCAAGGCAAGCCAGTATCTTTGGCTCCACGTCGCACCCGCGTCCAGATTCCACCTTCAGATCAACAGCTTCGCCCTCGACCCGGCTTGACTTCATAAGGAGGGGGGGGTGTTACATGTTGTGCCTGCAACAGGCTGCACGGGCCATTTTCAGGCCCGTGACGTTTTCAGCCCGAAAGCCTGAAAACAAGGGCCTACAGGCCCTGTGTCATTTCAGCCTGAGAGCCTGAAAACAAGGGCCTACAAGCCCTGTGTCGTTTCAGTCTAAAACAAGGCCTTCCAGGCCCTGAGCCTTTTCAGCCTGAACGGAGGGCCATTTTCAGGCCCTCATAAGATCGACCTGCCCTGAAACTTAGGCACCTGACCAGGGTTTTAGGCTTTTAGCTCAGGCCACTTTTGGCCTATTTTCAAGACAACCTTTGTTTGAGCTTCAACCCCAGGGTCTGGCACGTTTTGGCATTGGCAAGAGCAGCCTCCTGGATGGGCCAGCACTATATAAGACTGGCCCGCCCTGCAGGCTGCAGGTAGTTCCTAGGAACTTCCCAGGCACTTCACGTGCAGTTCAGGAGGCAGGAGGTAGTCTTCAGGATTCGGCAGCAGCACTCTGGAAGAGCGCTGCAGTAGTAGTAGCGCTAGCAGTAGTCTTCAGCGCTGGGCGCTAGTAGGAGCTAGAGTAGTACTGGAGAGAGACAGAGATTGGGCAGAGGCCAGGGAGACTTACCTGCAGCGCCATAGCTCCAGCTTCGTCTTCGAGGTACCTGCAGCACAGCGCCATCTTCACAGGTTAGTACCTGGTGCATGGGAGAGAGAGAGAGTTCTTCTTCTTCCTCTTCTCAGTCCATCATCTCCCTCTCACCCTCTCGCTACCTGACTTCACTGCATCAGCAGACTACGAGAGAGCGGGATTGGTGACATTTGGATCCAGACTTGACATTGGGCTTCAGACATTTTGACGAGGGATTATTTGGGACTTGTAACGAAGACTTGGTGTGGACGACATTCCCATCTCCCCACCCCTCTTCTTCGTCTGATTCCCTCCTCTTTGTTTGTGCATGATCTGGACCTGGCGCATTCTTCCTGTGTGTAGCGCCAGGCCCCTTCACACCTTGTGATGAGGATGATGTATGTTTGGTCTGCGTTGCGACATTGATTGGGCTAGTCATTGGTATTCT